AATAGACTTACAAGTCCAGGAAGCTCAGAGAACCCCAAACAAAAGGAATCCAAAGAGGACCACACCAAGACACATCATAATTAAAATGCCAAGAGCAAAAGACAAAGAGAATCTTAAAAGCAGCAAGAGAGAAACAGTCAGTTACCTACAAGGGAGTACCCATACAACTGTCAGCTGATTTCTCAACAGAAACTATGCAGGCCAGAAGGGAGTGGCAAGAAATATTCAAAGTGATGAATACCAAGAACCTACAACCAAGATTACTTTATCCAGCAAAGCTATCATTCAGAATTGAAGGTCAGATAAAGAGCTTCACAGATAAGGAAAAGCTAAAGGAGTTCATCACCACCAAACCAGGATTATATGAAATGCTGAAAGGTATTCTTTAAGAAGAGGAAGAAGAAAAAGGGAAAGATACAAATTATGAACAACAAATACATATCTATCAACAAGTGAATCTAAAAATCAAGTGAATTGCCAAAACCGGTTTGGCTCAGTGGATAGAGCGTCAGCCTGTGGACTGAAGGGTCCCGGGTTCGATTCCGGTCAAGGGCATGTGCCTGGGTTGCGGGCATATCCCCAGTAGGGTATGTGCAGGAGGCAGCTGATCGATGTTTCTCTCTCATCGATGTTTCTATCTCTCTCTCTCCCTTCCTCTCTGTGGAAAATCAATAAAATATATTTAAAAAAATAAAATAAAAATAAAAATCAAGTGAATAAAAAATCTGATGAACAGAATAAATGGTGAATATAACAGAATCAGGGGCATAGAAAGGGAGTGGACTGACAATTCTCGGGGGGGAAAGGGGTGTGGGGGGTGCAGGAAGAGACTGGACAAAAATCGTGCACCTATGGATGAGGACAGTGGTTGGAGTAAGGGCAGAGGGTGGGGTGGGAACGGGGGGGAGGGGAGCTATGGGGGGGAAAAAGAGGAACAACTGTAATAATCTGAACAATAAAGATTTAATAAATTAAAAAAAAAAGAAATAAACATATATACCTGTTATCCCTTCTCCTTGAAAACAAACAAGCTTAAAATAGATCCTCTCTAAAGGTTGCATGGATAGAATATTTTTGTGTATAAGATACTGTTAATGTAAAAACATTCAAACCTGTAAAGAATTTTTGTGAGTTTATTTGAGTCAAACTGTCCACAATTACCAGGAAGCAGTATCTCAATGGATTGGGATAATGCTCCAGAGAATGGTAGTTTCTCATCTAGTTTTGTACATTGAAATCAAAGGAGGGGAAGTAGGTGGGTTACATGAAATCCATTGGAGATAGATTAGAGAGGTGGTTGAAAGCAAAGGCGGGAGGGCGGGCAGGGGGGGACCTGGGACTGGATAAAAAGTGAAATGAGAGACGGATAGTTAACAGTCAACAATTAACATGATAGCAACAATGAAGGAATTTGTGGTACCTGCCTTGGCGCCCAGGCACATTAGGTTGTGCCCCAAGAGGTCTGGAAAAAGGGAAGTTGCAAATTATCCAAACATTTCAAGGATACATTATTGTAGATGCAAAAAGGCGGATAGGCTCATTTAAGATAAAGGTTGACCTTGTCAGGAAAAATACCGGTCTAGGACATGACTACCCACTATAACTGCTTTTAGTTAAAGTTTTAATTTCACATCATCCTTTGTGGTTACTTTAGGTCTTTAAGTTTGCAAGACTGCCATGCAGGCCTTCCCTGAACTTGTCAGGTTAGCATGTGGCCTTCCCCCACACCCCCCCTTCACAATACTGTAAATTGTTTATTTATAAATACTTATGAGAGAGATCTGGTAGGTGTGTGTAGTACAGAGTGCAATGAAGAGAGTCCTAGTCCTGGCCCTACTGCTATTTCACTTCACTGAGTTTTCTTATCTTAAGAAGGAGATTAGAGTAGATGTTCCTGTAGGTCCCATTCACATTCTCCTAAACTTGCACCCAGATGGTGTGGGACTTAATTATAGTGAACATGGAGAAGTCCCTCTTCTTAACAGCGAGGGCATTGTCAGGTAAACTGAGTGCCAACCATGTAAAAATGCTATTCCCTAAGTACTTTTGTTTCCTCAAAAATCAGGAACCAAACGAGGGAAAAGAAATTGCCCACCACACATCTTTTTTCAATCTGCAAAGAAACCTTCAGAGCAGATTTAAGCCTGGATCAACCTCTCTATATTAGTTTATATTACCTTCCATTTCTTTTTTAATAGCTGCATAGTACTCCATCGTGTAGATGAATAATGTTTTATTCACCGGATCTGTTATGTGTTGCTGACCTTGGGCTATTTCAAAGAGTGCCATAATAAATTACTGTGTTTTAATGAAAACATAAATTTATTTCTCTCTTAGGGTTCTGTGAGTAATGGGGATCAATTGATGGGATTCAGGGGTTCTCAGTTGGAGTCTCTCAGGCAATTGTAGATGGAAGGTGGGGCTGAAGTCTTTTCAGCCAGAGTGCAAGGAGCTTAAATCAAAAGCATGGTGGCCCAAGGACAGTGAGTGCCCTTCTCACTGTGCTCCTGCATCAGAAGCAGCAACCAGCTATCAGAGAAAAGGTTCCCAGTATTTGGAGGACAGGGTCTTTTGCCCCCGTGGCTCCTGCAAGCTCTGTGCAGGCTGCACCAGGAACAAGTGTATCGCCGCCTGTCATGTGACTGGGGTGGAGGAAGGGCAGCTGCTACTGAGCTGAGCTAAAATTAACCACAGTATACTGTTCAAGTCTTCCCCTGGGAGCTGGGAGCCTTCAGTAGACTCCAGAGTTCCAAAATAGTGACGTCAGGTAGATGCCGTAGTGCAGCAGTTGCCTAGGTGGGGAGACAGATTCTTCCTGCTCCGAGTCTTCCCAGAATCCTCTGTCTGTGCATATGTTATTTGTATTGTTGGGGACATACCTTCAGGGTGAGATCCTAGTAATGGGATTGCTAAAATAAATACAGACGTAATCTAGTTAGATATTGCAAAGTACTTTCTGTGGAGTTGTGCAATTTTACATTCCCACAAGCAGTGGATGAAGTGCCTGTGTCCCGCAGCCTCACCAGCAATGCATTGTCAAGCTTTTGAGTTTTTGCTGATCTGGGATGAGTAATCATATTTTAATGTAGAGATAAACTAAAGCCAAGGAGAGAAAACAATATACAAAACTGAATTTCTAGTTTAAAAAAATGCTTTAATACAGTGTGGAAAATAGTGTTCGAATATGAAACTGGACAGTCAGTGGGTCCATGCTGCCTGTTAAGCAGAGACAGGCTTGACTCCTATATGAGCATTTATTCCAATACTGCCAGCAGTATGGGAGAGCAGCAGGTCATCCGCAGAAGTCTGCTCTGCAGCCCCCCATAAGCCAGCTGCTCTTATAGGGTAAGACGAAGATTTCATGGGAAAGTAGGAATTGCAGGCTGGGGTGGGACTCCATTGTTTGGGCAACAAGGTTATTAATCTTTCCATGATAATAGGCAGTTCTTGAATGGGAATGGGCCACATTCCAAGGTTGACTTCCCAGGTCTAAGGTTGGCTCCCAGGTTCCCAGGGGCATACAACTCCCAGCCAGGTTAGATTGTTCGTTCTTTTATCCAGAACAAGGCAATCATGGTTAACAGAGCATGATGAATATTTCTCATAACCAAAGCTAGTCCCCAATATTCTATTTTTGCTTCTAACAAAGCCATATATCTCTTTTAGGGGTTGAATACCTGGATTAAGTACCATGCCAAAACCTTTTCCTAATTTGTAGTTCTGCCTGGGGTATTACTCTAGCCTGACTCATTGGTTGCAGTGAGTTTCAGTCACAAAGAAGGGAGGCAGTGCCCGTGAGAATGTGTGTTCCACAGCTGAGAGTGCCGGCCTGAAGTTGGCCTCTGCCACCACCCGTCTTACCAGCTGTTGTCTCCACAGCTCTTACGCTCCTCTGCACATCAGCCTCAAGATCGCCATGTGTGCTGAGTTCCTCTTTTTCGATAGTGTCTGTTCTGAGTTCAGCTTACACATGTGCCAGGATGGACACGCCATTCTCTCTCTTACTTAAATGTGACCTTTTGGCTTCAGCCCTTTGCAGCTGACCAGTGTCTTCTCTTGCTGTTTTTTAGTCACATTTCAAAAAAAATCATTGGCTCAGGCCATCTTTTTGTGCCACTTCTGATCGTTGTTCTTATTGTGCCACTTGTGATCGTTGTTCTTAGCTAAACTGTAAAGTGGATCAGGTGTCAAGCCCCTTAAGGATGTCAGGGAGGGAGCAGGAGAGCAGCAGGGAAATAGCAAGGAACCATGGATGGGACAGGTCCCCTTGGTGAGTGAGGGGCAGGATAGAGCTGAATGCATAACATATTCTTTCTCAGTATACCGTTTGTTTTTTCAATAGAGTACTTCAGGTAAATACTTAGTAGTGCAGATTGAATAGCGTAGGAAACTAGCTAATATTTAGGTGTCCAGATTGCCTGAGAAGTATGCTGCTATTTTCTGTTCCCATTGTGACTTCAGTAGCATGGTGTGGCAGAAAGGCCACTATACCAGAGGCCAGCAGTCTTAGATTCTGGACCTGAGTTTGCTGTTCTGAAAGGCTGCACTTTCTTCACCAGATAAATCTTTAAAAGTAGAGTAGTTTCTAAGGTACTGCTAGGTCTAGCTAAAAAATCTGTGACTCAAATTGTTCTATACTGAGCTGGGGAAGGTAATTTCCACAGCACAGTTAGAATACAATCGTAAGTTCAGGTTAATGTAAAAAAAATGAGAAAGATATGAGAGCGATTGGGCCCTTAAATTAGAAAAAGATAGGGGAGTTTTGTAGTGAACCAAATTCTCATTTGAACTTGTTTTATTGGAAATGGGATGATCTTCATAAACTGATTTAAGTTGGATATTACAGTCACAAACTGTAATATCCCAAGTTGTACATAAGTAGTATAATATTATAAGTGTAATATTGAAGTTTGAAATGCTCTTTATCTTCCATGCTTGTAAAAAAATCATAGTTGGATATTCAGAATAGTTAAGTAACATGGTTCTCTTTTACTTTTTAGGATTTAAGTGCCCTGTATGCTCAAAATTTGTACCCTCAGATGAAATGGATTTACATCTTGTGATGTGTTTAACAAAGCCAAGAATAACCTATAATGGTAAGTCCTGTGCTTTAATGTTTTAAATGAGGATTACTTAGATTTAATGAACTTCATGTTTCAGGTAACATTTAAAAGGACAGGAAGCACCACCATGAGCCTTGGAGGCCCACTGGTGCTCTAATTAGGCCTGGTGCTTTAAAGGGTTGTACCATTATTTCCTGACCACAATGTCTCTAGATATTCAAAACCCTGGAAGAGATTTTCCATGTGGTTTTGGTACATTTTGGAATAGACTTGAAAAAAAAAAATCAAATAGTTCACTCCTGACTTTAAATAAATGGGATAAAATAAAGGAAAAATGAGAGCTTTTCCCAAAATTTCATGCATAGAAGGACAAACTTCAAAAGTGTATGAGAAATTTTAGATTTTTCAGATGTACAATTTGGTTTGAAATAGAATAAGTCGGAAGAGTTCCAGTAAACAGTGAATCCAGTTGATAGGTTGACTTAATTCAACAAATGTTTTGTGAATACTCTCAAGGTATGGTGTTAGGAACTTGAGATGATACTGACTAAAACAGAGATGGATCCTACAATCTGGGATCCATCCAAAGATTGATCAACGTAGGAGCATTTAACAATCTGGGATTTCTACTCATTAAAAAAATAATGTTGGGAGAGGTAGAATTTAACACTGAAATGGTCATGTTACTTTGAGTAGCTTTTTTTTTTTTTTTTTTTCAAATTGGTTTAGGAGCCTCTGATAAGATAGTGTTTCAGCCACACTGTTATAGTGGTGACAGTAGAGCTTTTTCCCATTCATTTTCCGTGAGTAAGTAAAAAGTAGGGTTTAGTAAATGTACCTGTTGATTATATCCATACCTTTTTATATTATGAAATTGAATTGGCTACTTTGCATAATCTAGTTGAATTTCAGTTACTTAAGAAATAAAAAGCATTTCCATTTTACCTCAAATTTGAGGTAAAAGTGATTGGGCTTGTTTCTTATCTTTACTCCATTATCTTATTGTTACTCTATTATTATGTTTCTTATCGGTCTCTTTAAAGTAAATATCCTTAAATCTTAATACTCTGGCCTTGAACTTTAAAAGCACAAATGTATTTCTTTTGACCATGTGAAATAGTTGTACACAGTCTTAGTATTCTGTACATTTACTTTTTGTATAATATATTTAGAAAACAGTCTTTTGTGTGTCAATATTTGGCTAAAGTCATTAAAGTTTCCTATATCACTTATTTGGTATCTTAACCAATAGGTAGTCTTCTGCTTGGGGATACTGTAAACAAAAGATTTAGGTGAGTCAGAATCTTTGAAACAGACCCTTTTTAGTCACCTGGACTCCTCACAGCTTTATATTTGAATTCATAGAAGTTGATTCCTTAGAGAAATATGCATCTAAATTGTGTTGTTAAACAAAATTCAGCTGAATACATTTGAAGATCTAATTGACTTTATTCAGTGATTCAGGAATCAGGCAGCATCCCATCTAGCGGATACTGGGGCTGTACATAATGAAGGGCTTTTATAGGCAAAGGTGGGGCCAGATAAGGAAGTTGTTAGGAAAGAGCCAATAGTTTCAGGCAAGGTCATCTTTCTTTGCAGTGGTTCTCAACCTGTGGGTCACGACCATCGGAACACACAGATAGCATATCAGATATTTACATTACGATTCATAACAGTAGCAAAATTACAGTTATGAAGTAGCAACGAAAATAATTTTATGGTTGGGGTTACCACAACATGAGGAACTGTATTAAAGGGTCCGTGCATTAGGAAGGTAGAGAACCACTGCTTTAGGGGAAGATGGGTCTGTCTGACAGATTACCTCACTACTGTTGATCAGCTAATTTCAGATTGACTGGTTATAGGTTACATTCCTGGGAGAGGCTGAAATTGCAATTACAGTGGGGCCTTGACTTACGAGTGTCCCGACTAACGAGTTTTTCGAGATACGAGCCGTCTCTCGGCCGATTTTTTGCTTTGAGTTGCGAGCTAAAATTCGAGTTATGAGCCAGCTTCAGATACCCCACCCTTAGTTGGTGCAGCGAACATCAGTGAACGCCACAACATCAGCCCAGCATCATGTGTCTCACTCGTTCACTGTTGATTTGACATATGAGTAATTTGAGTTACGAGCTCGGTCACGGAACGAATTAAACTCGTAAGTCAAGGCCCGGCTGTACGTGAGGTATTAAGCCTTGATTTGCTGACTTGGGACTTAACACAGTGACTCCATCTTTGGCCTGTTGTCTCTTTTTTAACATCTCAAAAGAGAATTTTATTCAGCATGGTGCTTATTAATTTATACCTTTTGCAGCCTTATCTAAAGTAGCTAGATCTGAATTTTTAAATTTTATTTGTTATATGTATATTGACTTAACTGTACAAACATTCACAGCAAGGAGAACTGGACTTGTTTTTCATGCTGGATATATTTATAGTCAAATTCCAGAAGAGGATGAATTATAGAAATTTGAATATAAGTTGGTAATATGGAGTTTCAAATTCATACTCACAGAGATGATAGTCTAAATGTTAGACTAGCCCACAACAACTTAAAAAAAAATCTGTGAATATATCAAAATACCAAGTCCAGTAACTGAAGAACAGAATTGACTGACTAGGTGGAAGCTCAGGGTTTAGGCAACTGGCTCAGCAGAGGTTCAGATAGGAGGTCCAAAGTGATCACAGAGGGAATGATTCAGAGTGTTGTGAGTGGTTATCTACTGCTGGTGGCATTTTGGCAGGATGGGAAAAATTTCAAAATGCCACAATGAGTGTCCGTATGTATAGGCTGCCCTTAAATCAGGGACTGCCTATCTCATATACCTTTCCCTCTTTCATGTACTTCCGTTTATGCACCTAGTAATTCATTGTGTCGTCTGTGAGCATGATACAAATTTTATGAGCATACTCCCTCTTCATTTCCTTGTCCCCCATCTTCTAAAATGTTTAAGAACAAACCAAAAACATGAGATAAATATTGTCAGCAAATTCTTAGTCTTGGTTTTGTTGGTTTTTAAACTTCACTGGGTCTTAGCATGTTTTGTGTCTATTATAAAGTTCAGTTTTTATTTTAGAATTCTGTGATTGAGGGCAGTAAGATTTGTATTTAAGAAAATTTTGTTTTAGTTTTAATTGGTATTATTTGTGTGTGTGCACTTGTACCTGGAGGAGGGGTAGCTTGAAATAAGTTTATCTTCTGAGAATTCATTATAAACTCATGTAGTGAATCAAAGCAGAGCCTTTTCAAGTCATCAGAAAGAAGTAAGATGTTAAATTGACATATTTGAAGAAATATGTATTGAGTCATTTGGAAGGGAACTTGTTCTGTAATGAAAGTGAGTTATAAGGATCCCACCTTGTGAGAAAGTGCTGTCACGCTCACTGGAATGTGGAGGTAGATTGCAGCGGGCGCTCTATTCCAGTGTGCTCCTGAGCCTTCAGGTGGCCTGGCTTTCCATGTGCGCTGGTGCAGGCAGAAACATGCTTTCTCCCTCTGTAGATACTGTCTGGCTTTTCAGCCAGTTGTGGTTCCCATTTTAAGTTATAAACTTGCTTTCTGCCTTACATACTACATTTTCTTGGGTTTAAGACACACATCCTTTACCCCCCCACACACACATTTTAATGTTTCTGAGTTCAGGATGTTTCCTGAATGGGCATGTCTCTTACAAGTGAGGTTAAAAAAAAATTGCCAGCAACCTCCAAGCAAAATTTTAAATAAGGAGGTGATTATTGCCTGAGTTTCTGTGAACTTGCTCTTCTCTGGAAGATTTGTTATGTATTTTATTTTTTTGTAAGAGAACATTTATTTGATAAATTATAGAGGTAGAATGCCAGGGTCCTGCCCCAGCGGGTCCAGGGGTCCCCAAAGGTGTGGATGGAGTCGGCGAAGAAGGAATGACATGGAGGCAGCGTTCAGTTGATCAGCAGCCTAGCCAGGATCTCCAGCCAGGATCTCCAGCCAAGTTCTGGTCTGGATCTCCAGAGAGGTTCTGCTTAGGATCTCTAGCCAGGTTCTATATCCATGTTGTCTTGCTAGGTTCTCCAGGTTCTCCAGCCAGGTTCTGTAGCCATGTTCCCTTGCTAGGTTCTCCAGCCAGGTTCTGTCCAGGTTCTCCAGCCAGGTTCAGTCACCAGGTTCTAGTCAGGTTCTCTTGCCAATTTCTGTAGTCAGGTTCAGTCCAGGATCTTTTGCCATGTTCTCTCGCTAGGTTCTGTCTCTAGGTTCTGAGGCCAGTTTCTGTCCAGGATCTTTTGCCATGTTCTCTCCAGCGAAGTTCTTCTGTCTCTAGAGAACGTTCTGTGGAGGTTCTGTGCCTCCTGGTTCTGTCTTCTGAGTTGTATTCTAAGCTCTGTATTCTAAGTTCTGAGTCTTGCTGTCTTATTACATCTGTATTTATACCAGTTGATTCAATCCTATCAATCTCTATTACAAAGGCTAGGGCGTTTCTTATCTCCATTCCAGGGAGTAAAGATTATGTAGCTTAAGCATGATTGTTCGTAGTTAAAGTGATTAATTACCCACCTGGCACTAGTTAAGAGGTTTTATTCCCTCCCTAACTTCAGGGGAAAATCCCTACCTGGGGAAACAACCTTTCTCAGAGAGGTGACCTTGGTTAAAACACATAGTGCCAAGAAGGTGAGCAAACATATTAAGAACAGTATGCCATATATGCCAGGTCCCTTGAAACAGCAAGCATGGACCGGCTCCCGGCAGTAGAAGAAGTAATTTCTAGAAGAAATGTGTTTAGGAAACAAGTTATAGAGGTAAAGGAAGGGCCAGTGGAGCTTGGGAGTGAGGAAGCTAATAATTACAGGCCTAGAGGGGTGGGGATTGGGGGGAGGTAAGGGAAAGGGAAAGGCAGGGATGTGTTCCCCGGAGAAAGAGTGCCAGATTTCTGTTATTTGATTTGGTGCCTGTGTGCATTTATTTGCATTGGTGATTTCTGTGGTTGAGTTTTAAGTGTGATTCCTGGTTGCAGTTTTAAATGACTTCATAGATTATAGGGCGTCATTGAAGTGAAGTGATT